TCAATTGCACCGAATACCAAGTCATGTGAGTCATTCACCAGTTTCACTGTGAAAATGTTGATGCATTTTGTCTCTTTGGGACAACGTGAATGTGGCCAAACAACTGAGCCTGACACATGGACCGGAGAACTGTAAAGCACTCATCTCCACTTTGTCTTCTTTTATAGTGTTGTTGGAATGGACAAGGTCTTCCCAGAAATGACATCTGATCGAATCCAGGAAATCACCAAGGCTTTGGTTGCATACCTCAAGGAAGCCATTTTCCAAAAGCATGATCCAGGTAGGATTGCAGCAACCTGAAATTGTTCATGTGGATACATTTTGTTATGACAATTCTTGTCTTTTGCTATTCAGCAGCTTAACGTATGTTAAACAAGTCATTGATCTGGATATAAACATTTTCTTACCCTTCAGCCTGCCTGGAGAATATCAATGATGATTCTGAGTGGCTGTCCGTCAATTTTGGAGATTTTTCTAATTATATAAATTATTCAGATTTAATGGATTTCAACATTACTGGGGTATAGTATTTTCCCCTTAAAATTTTCCCTTTCTTTTTCACACACTGTATCAAAACATATTCGTATTTCATAAGTTTTGCTACGTATCTTATTACACTGAAGTAATCTTATATGTTTTTAAACATGCTTTGATCTGTTTTTAGGAGGATAGTATTCTCACTCAGAAACAGTTGGCGCAGTTCGTAGCCACTCCTGGGGAGCTGAAGCGACCAGATGATATCATCAAAATTATGGCAATGATTCATTTCTCCTTTATAGGACCATTCTTTGACATTGTATCTCCAGTTATTCAGGTATACATTGTCATCAAATGTTACAAGCAAGTAAAAATGGAATGATAACCATATATTTGTGTGTTATCTGTTTTCTAACTGTTGCAAAAATGCAAGTATAGCTACATAAATATACATGTTGTTGCCCCTTTTGTGTGTTTGTTTATATTGTATTTACTCAAATGCTCGTTTGTTCATTTCTTTTTTTGATTCATGATTGCAGAAAAATGAAGGAAACTACAGCCAAGAAATAAAATCAACATTGCTCCAAGTGGTGTTTGACAGAGGGAATTTGTCATCACCTGGTGTCTCAAACAACGAAATTCTTTTATGGCTTAAATTAAGGCTGAGGCCTTTGCTCCCAAGTCTGAATTCATCTCAGGTGGCTCCTTTCTTTAACATTGTGAGGAACAGGAACTGCAACATAAGCCAAGAAGCGTAAGTGCTGAAATAATCTTTACCTTTATTGCAACTCTGAGGTTAAGAGTTTTCCTTCTGTGCTGTTTGATGTTCATAAGTTTTTCCTGCTTTTGAATTTTCAGTATTGATATACTTAACCAAGTTCACTCTTCACTGAATGATGCTACACAGAAAGAAATCTACAATAACATAATGCTCTTACTCCAAGGTCTGTCAATTCAGATATATTCATATCAATATGAAGTATTAATCATTGTGTGTGTGTGTGTGTGTATATTTGATATATATATTGGAACAACATAGCTTTTTTCAAGAATTTCTAACTGTTGTTTGTTTGCAGAACCAAGTGCAATGCAGTGCTATACAAATGGCAGCTTCTATCTGTTCCTGAAAAAATATTTCAATGACTTCGGATTTCCTGATTTAACCGACTTTCTTTTGTTAATGCCAAAAAGACAACAGCCCAAGGTATTTTTTTTTCTTGAATTTGACATTCTGGTGTAGCAATCAATTTTATATTTCAATACTATTGCATTATCCAGGACCATGGCAGACTTTTAAACTTGTTATTGTTGTTCTGCAGCTGATCAACTCCATTCTTGAATCTGAGCTGGAAATCTTGCTTCAGCAGCCCGGTTTTGTTGGAAACACCACAGATCTATGTATTTTATTAACAAACTACAAAAGTATCAGCCACTTCTTGGAAATTGTAAGTACATGATAATATTAGCTAAAGTACTAATTAGAGATCCAGTCCCATACCCACTGTTGCTTTCGGGCCAATACTAGCAATGTAGGCTGGATCAGATATTAGCGGGGGGAGGGGGGGTTAAAGACCGATCCAGTTACCTATCAGATATAATAGTGATAATGCTCATAGCCTTAATGCAACATACCATAAACAGAACTGAGTCATGTGATTTCTAGTTGCTCAGCAACGCATGTGCGTTGGAGGTGTTAATATTAAAAGTCTTGGCTTGGGTATGCCACACATCATTGTTTTGACAACCAGTCTGACTCATGTGTTAGCTGTCTTTGTGACCTTGAAATCTCGCTTTTCTTGCAGTAACTTTTAAACTTTTCGGTACCGTTAATTTCAAGTATGTTTTGCTGCTAGCTGCAGGAAGGTGGGTTTGGACATTCAACTCCACCCACATCCAACCTGAGCCTGTCAATCATGCTGTACGTTCAAGAAGCACTTTGCAGCTCTTGATTTACGCGTGTCACAAGGACATTCTCAAGAAGCACTTTTCCAATTTCTTTGTTAGTTGTGCGAACATCATAGACTGTACTTACATGATATGCACAACATGGGATACTGTTTTACAGTGAACCTTTTCCTATTTAATAAGTAAAAAGATCCACTCTAAAATAATGATAAAAAGTACAGTATCGTAAGTACATAAATATAGTTATTATCAAGTACAGTATTATTATTGAAAATCTTAGAAGACCACCATCACATAGGCTGTGGTCCCTCACTGACTGAAACGTCATTATGCAGTGTGTGACTGGGCATCATTGTTGGTCACAGCCACAACAGTCGCATGGTGGTCTCATTAGGAATTAGATGTTTTAAGATTATATTTTTTGTTTGTTTTATGTCACCCATATGATGACCAGAACATATTATATATTATATATATATAATATTTGCCCATATTGATTGGTTAATATGTGGATTAGTATTAATACAGCCAAAGAATGCAAAGCAGTAATAAAATCCACTGCTATCAAGTACACAGTGCCTTGCAAAAGTATTCAAGTCATCATTATTTTCTGTTGACTTTTTACTTTTTCCTAATCAGTATTTTTAATGCAAATAATTATCCTCTAGTATATTTCCAAAGGCAATGTACGTTATTTCTGTGCTAACATTAAAATTAAAGAAATCAAAAACTTATTTCCATAAGTTGAATTAGGTTATACCTATGGTTAAAGCAAATATATAAAATTAATTTCTAAGGGTCATTAGCCAGGTTGTGAAATAAAATAAAAAATTTAAGCCAAAGAGACAAGGTGATTAATTAAGATGCTAATTGAGTGAGAAAGAGAAAGTGTTTAGTTGGCCAGTTGAGCACCACTGGATCTATAAGAGGATCAGAGGGGAAGTTACCTTACATTCTATCCCTCTATCCATAAATCTGTGTAAATATGGTAGCTTCAAAAAGTTAAAAGTTAAGTTAAAAAAAAATTAAATGGGATGTGTACTTCTGACACCTGGAGTACAGCCAACAGCAGGGTTCGAATTACAAAGTGGCTTTCGGGGGAGCCGTATTTACCGATCCTCCCTGACTGACTTTAACGCTTTTGGTGCATGTTCGGGCATTTTAAACAGTTATGTTTTGAACTTGAAGTTAAGCTAACATTCAAATACCAACTCAGTGAGAAGTTCGAGTGGTGACGTAAACGTAGTACCGTAATTTTCGGACCATAAGATGCACCGGACCATAAGACGCACCTAGTTTGGGAAATGAAGAAAAAAAAAATTCTGAACCAAATAGTGT